CCCCTTCCTTCTTCACTAGATATATTAGAACTTATTGATTTAACCCTCTTTTAAATTTTTTTTTTAGATCCACCTTTACAAACAACACCCCACGCCCTCCTTTGCTTTTCGGCATCGAAAGCGCCTCCCAGCACAACCCCCGGTGAGTCGGCCCCCCCTTTAAAGGCGCGGCGCTCGAGACCAGCCCGCCGCGATGGACCCTCTGTTCGCCACGGTGACGTTTGTGCGCGAGGGCGACGGGGCCCACGCCGGGACCTTCCGCGTGCCCCTCACCCGCGAGACGACCGTCCGCCAGCTCGCCAGGGAGGCCGTCCAGCGCTTCGCCCTCTGCCGCCGCGGCCCCCCCCCCTCCGCGTCCGCGCGGTCCACGTCGGCGGCTTTACCCCCGCCTCGCCGGAGTTGTTCGCGAGGGATTTGGTCACCCACGTCGTCCTCGCCAGGGAGGAGATCGTCTTCCTGACGCTCCAAGGCCCCGCGAGGGAGGAGGCGGAGGGGGCCACGGCCCCCTTGGAGCCCTGCAAGCCGCCCCCTCTCGAGGGAAATGCGGGAAAGCCGGACCCCGTCGTGGAGGCGGCGCCCGTTTTTCCCTCGAAGCGCCGCGCCCGGGCCGAGGAGGGGGTCCACACGTTGGAGGCGCCGGAGGCGATTCCGCAAATCCAACGCCTCCGCCTGGGCTGTGGCCCCGACGCGCGCGACGATGTCCCGAGCCCTGAGAAGTCGCTGAGCCGACAAAAGGCCGCCGCCGCCATGCCGAGCGCCAACCCGCAGGGCCTCCTTGAAAGTCAATCAGATGGGGCGGAGCCGCTGCACCCCGGATGGGGTCCTGAGGCCTATAAATGCTTTGCGTCGAACTATGTGTCTTCGCCGGATCGATTGATCCGTGAAATACGAAAGCAAAAGCGCCTAAGGGAGGCAGAACTCAAACAACGCATGGTGGCAAAGAGGCAGGGGCCATCACAGTTGTGTAAGTCGAAATTAAATCAACCCGCAATGACTATTCGCGCACCCGTTGGTACGGCTCGAGAGCTTGATTTTAGTGAATTCGATGAGTGTAGAGGTGACCAAACGGAATGCCGGCGTACAATAGGACACAAAGTAAATCCAATTCTTGTTAGAGAAGTGGATGGTAATTAAACACACATGCCGAATTTGATGCTGCGACGGCTTATTTTTAAAGAATAAAGATTAAACTAAACACTAGGATAAATAAACTTGGTTTAGCGATACGGCGAAGCGTAAAAAAATTGTGTTAAAGTGCTCAACTATTACTCTTTATGTTTTTACTGTCAAGAGCTTTGCTCAAAGTTACGGAAGTTGTGAAAATAGAAAAAAAAACTGAACATATTAATAATGATGGTAATAGTAATTTATATGAGTACGTAGAGAGAATAACTAGAATGCTGTTTATCTTTTATTTGCACATGTAAGATGGAGAAGAAACTATTTATTCAAAAGGTTGAACTCCATTTCACTCCTCCCCCCCTCCCCCCCCCCCACCACACACAAAAAAAAAAAGCCTGTCAATACACGACGTTTCCTCAACTTATGATCCAAATTTGAATTCTTTCCTTATTTTTTTTTAGCCTAAAAGAGGAAACCGCTGTTCCACAATGGTAAAGATAAAGAGCCAGTCTTCGATCAGCATCCCCGAGGGCGTCTCGGTGGAGTTCAAGAACCGCATTTTGACCGTCAAGGGCCCTCGTGGTACTCTTACGCGAGACTTCCGCTACCTCCAGCTTGACTTCCGTGTAGATAACTTGAAGCGCACCTTCACCGTGATTCGTTGGTTCGGCTCCAAAATCCCGATCGCGTGCATCAACACGACCCTCTCCCACGTGCGCAATCTCATCTGCGGCGTCACCAAGGGCTTCCGCTTTAAGATCCGCAGCGCCTACGCGCACTTTCCCATCAACATCAACGTCGAAGGCCAGAATATCGAAATTCGGAACTTTCTGGGGGAAAAACGCGTGCGCCGAGTGCTGCTCCCGGACTCCATCAAAGTCTACCAAACCGACCCGTCCAAGGTCAAGGATGAACTGGTGCTTGAAGGGAACGATCTCGAGCAGGTCTCCCGCGAGGCCGCCGTCCTCCACCAGTTGTGCGCGGTCAAGAAGAAGGATATCCGTAAGTTCTTGGACGGTATCTACGTCCAGACGAAGACGAATGTGGAGGTCTCGGCTTAGAGTAGGTTCATCAAAGATGCATCTGCACCCAAGAAGCTTATCTTACTCTTTTAGTTCAATGTCTTTTTAATTTTAAATTTTAATAAATGATGATGTTTCCCCAAGCGTATTAGTGATCAGGTATTGTCTTGGTCTTTTTAAACCCGAAAGTGTTTTTTCGACCCTAATGTTGTTGTACATCTCATCCCCCCCCCTTTTTTTTTACTTCGAAGTTTAGCAGAATTAGGATTACGCTTGCCTATCGTACATGTTTGGTTATCTTTTCACGTATTAGTTTTTTTTCTTTTGCCGAGGAAGCATGCGTCCTTCGGCGTTGCGGCGTCTGAGCATGTGGGATAACCCCACCTTTGAGCATAACCCCATGCTGCGTTATTGGAAGCGTATGGTGAACAGTACCGGCACCACCCTTTCCTCACAAAGTATCCCACGGCACATCCACGGATATTTGGAAGGGGTGAACCCACGAACCGAGGCGATGCTAAGGTGGTTTCCATACAAACAGGAGCTCACGGTCAATTCACGTTACGTACCGACTTTTAAGGATGTGCTATACGCACATTATTTTCCCCAAGAATTCAATGACGACGAGCGTGTGAAGTACACCGCCATTAAAACTGGCCGAAGCGAGGTCGAGATAGCCGAGGAGATCTATTTGATGCGCAAGATCAAGCTCATTACCGCACAGCTCCTTCGAAATAAACTCCACAACAGTCCTTTTCGTATCCCGGAGGGCGCCGATTTCTCTGAGATCGAGCGCCGCTATTCTTTGGGGATTATCCAGGTCGCTCGGGCGATGGGCACGAGTATGTATAGTACAGATACCTACGAGCCGCTCATCATGTACTCACCATACTTTGATTTCGGCGATTGTGTGGATCTCATTATCCACAAGCAGCTTCGAACGTCCCAGCAGTACCTTCTATGTGATATTGTGGTTCATAAAGGAATTTCTTGTTCTCGCCTTCCACATGTGAAGGAGGACCCGAAAGAACCTTTGAAGGATTTGGAGCCTTGCCTTTTGCAATTTATCAAACTTCGTCTGGCCGTGCTTTGCCTTATGGCCAAACAGGAACATTACGTGGTTGACCATATATTTGACCCCAATCACCGGTACGGCGGGTGTCTGATTCACCTATTTCCTTCTCCTTTGGATCACGAGGTGATTGATAATGAGGTTGAGCATATCGAGGTGGATACGGAGCTGGCCACGAAATGGATGAAGCATTACTATGACCACTACATTGCGCCGCGGAGGGTTGAATAGTACTCGCACTATTTCCCGGATAGCTAAATAGCAAACTAGATTTACACAGGTTATGCGTAAGTACATATATAACAAGCGAAAAGGATAATCATGGATTTGATATGTATTGAATCTGCCTTTTTTTTTAAAAATCCAGTTTTATTCTTCTAAACGGAAAGATTTCAATTAGTTACGTATTTGATTAAATTTAGTTTCATATATTTCACTAAATCTTCAAAATCCTTTAGCAACCCATTCATCATTGCCTATAAAGTAAAACTTAAAACCGATAAAGGGGAAAAAAATACAACATTAATTTGATATTGTGCATTTGAATAGACTCATGTCAGCTACGACCTCAAATTATGAAGGTTCAGACGAGAAAATGAATTCACTTATTACTTCTATAACAAATCATCTCGCCCAGGATGAAATTGATATGCTGCGCGATACCTTTATTTACATGGACGTTGACGGTGATGGTTACGTGACCATAGAGGAAATGCTAAACAAGGTGCATCAGTGCGTTGGCGAGGAGCGCTATCCTGCGCTTAGTGAATACATTAGTCCACTTTTTAAGGTTTCAGATAAAGACGAAGATGGTAGATTAAACTTAGCAGAGTTTTTGGTTTCCTTCGCGGACGGTCCGGGAGTAATCCCAGCGGAGATTGTGAACCACTGCGTTTCGGCTATACAGGTGCGTCTTACCGATGAGGAAATCACCGTTTTGCAGGAGAATTTTCACCACATTGATGTCAACCAGGATGGGTTTATTGACACCGATGAGTTGAAGTCGGCGTTGCGTAAAATTGTTTTTCATGGGTTTCCCGACCTGAAGGATTATGATTTTGATGAGATTGTGCGAGACGTGATGTCAACCGCGGATACCAGTGGGGATGGCAAGTTGTCGCTTTCCGAATTTATACGCAGTTATCAGGAAGACCAAGGGGTCCTGCCGGCGTGCTTTATGGATGTTAACACTTCTGAACACGTTGTGCACCAGCTCACGGACGAGGAGATGGATGCACTGACGGTGGCCTTTTCGATTCTGGATAAGGACAACGACGGCTACGTGAACTTTTCGGATTTATACATCGCCCTATGTGAAGGGCTGTCAGGCTATGCCGAGGAGAGTCAGATTCACGATTTGTGCGACCTCATTATGACCGCGGCGGATTGTTTTAAGTGCAACCGTCTATCCTTGAAGGATTTTGTACTCGGGTTTCTGCGCAACATGGAGGTGATGAAGATCTCCCTGGTGGCGGCCCAACACGCCATCGCGAAAGGCTGTGAGCAATTCCAGCACCTCTACCACTCCGGCGAGCTGAACAAGCTTGTGATGGTGTTTGAAGGGTTGGATAGGACTGATAACGGTTATATCAACAGCGACGAGCTGCTGAAGGTGATCCACGGCCTCTTCCGCGGTGCGTTTTTGGAGTGGGGCGATGAGATCTCGACCTCCGTCTTGTCGACGATCCTGGCAGGGGTGGAGATCGGGAGCCGGGACCGCATCACGATGGACGACTTCATCCACCGCTACGTCGAGCGCGCCGGGGCCGCCGCCGCGTCCGGGCAGGCGTCGCCCCTGGCCGCCCCCAGCGAGGGCGGAAAAAGACGAGGCGGCGGCGGGGAAGAAGAAGAGGAGGAAGAGGGGGGGGGA